AGCGCTGATTGGCACCGTTTAATTTTCGTCTTTGGTGACGATTATCGTATCATAATTCATGTTGCATGCAGCCCACTGTTATACCATTCCAAGGCCGCTTGACGACCTTTATATCAAAGCCAGCGCGCATCTAATCGTAGCCGTAGTCGTGTGTGGCTACCCTAAAACAGTCGATTTCAAATAAGTTGCCTGCGTTGTCATAAACAAATTTCAAACTATCCGGGGCCCCGTTGCGTTGGCAAGGAATTTCAAAACAATTTTAGGTTATCCCGTTGCCCTTCACTAGCTTGCAGCCAGGCTGGATATGCGTTTTAAACCAGTTGGTCTTTCCACATCCTCTGTAGGGCAACACTCTAATTAAAATGGTGTTTATACTTGCTCCCCATTTGCTCGCTCTCTCTCTCTCTCTCTCTCTGCGTCATGCGTCTCATTTTCGCCATCTTTGGTTTCTCGTGGGCGGTGCGCGGGCGGCTAGTTCCAGTCAGTGATCTTAGCTGAAATGACGACGATGTCTGCGACAACAAGGTTGGCGTTCGCTTAACAAGAAAGACGATGACACATAGCCGACAACGACATGCTACCAGGCAATGGGCAACAACGAACAGCAGTCAAAGCCCCCTTGTGTGGCTCCCTAACAGTTTTATTGGTGGAAACGAACCGTCGCTACTTCGTTTGGTGGCAGTGTTACCAGTAGCGATCGTCGCGTATGACCGAACGAAGAAACGAACCGACATTCTGCTGCAGCCGGTGCTGCTGTCAGCGTCATCACTAGAGTTAGCAGGCATTCCAGCGGTTGCGGGCCAACACATACCTTTTGATAACAACCTTAACGCTCCAGTTAACTGGTGTAATAAGGGTATCGCTGCTCGCCGTTCGCCATGTTTGTAATGGCGTTCGTGGTCGCATATTACGTGCTTACATACCCGGCTTTCGAGTTCTTATACTTCATCAAGAGCACCATCGTTTTCATTTGAAGGTCTCCGCCCTTTCCAAGTTCGACGCATGATCAGAAACGAATTCGCTCAGTGAAAAAGAAAAAAGAGGAGGCATGAACTAAAACCTTACGAACTGTCTGTATATGCGTGTACGTACATGTCTGTGCGAAGTTTACTCGGTGGGGGCAGACACGACGCACTCAAGTGGAGGACTGGTTATTTCCGCCTGGTACATTTATAGTAAAAGTATATTGCCAGCTTACAGCCGTTTGACCTATGCGCGACACCGCCCGTTTTCTCTACCATTCATTAAAGTCACTTTCCAATAGCTTCACAAAATATCAAGGGTCAACAGTACGCTAGAGAGTGGCAAATCTTCAGAACGAATATCTATGTTGCAAACAAATAAATATGTTCTCGAGGCCTGTAGGTGTACGGACAAAGTCCAGCAAATATCTAAAATGTATAGCTCATTCGTTCTTGTGTTTATATATAAAATGGAAACATGGACAGCATACCAGGCTCTATACTGTGTTTTTTCTGCATCGTTAATTCCTCTTGCTGCATGAACCTAATTGGCCTGCGTACTTCTGTATGTATCTTGCACACCATCAAGGGACCAAACGTTAGACTCTAGTTATACTGTTTAGGGAGCCACAACAAGGTACGGGCAGTACAAGCTGGAGGGGTTAGATATGTTTACCTATTTTTAGAGTACTATAAAGCTGCTCCAATTTAGCGGGTATTTTAAATTGTCTGCCCGTTTCTCTTAAAAGAGCGTCTATTAAGGACCGTATCAAAATTAAGAGAAATCACTTTAAATATAATTAATTTAGTTCTTTTTAATACCTCTTAAAGTATTCGTACTGTCCATCTTTTTTTAAAGTTTAAAGTTGAAATAAACAATTCTCATGCTATCATCGAGTTATTTCAGTAATAGAATAATAATAGAATAGTCTATGCTAATATTTATATAAACAAAAATTAGTCCATAGCCAAACGTTCTATGGATTAAATAAAAGTATTTTAAGCTTAACTGTTCAATCGTACGTTCCTTTGTCAAAACTCCTTGTTTGCCTTAGCCAGCTTTAGGGCATCTTTACCTCTCCGTAGAATTAGGTTAAATGCTCTTCTCCTTCTTTATTATGGTTTCCGCGCAAGCTGGGTTTACGTAGTAGTCGTATGTAATCAAGATATTCCTCAACAGGTGAGAAGCCCGTGACTAGGAAAATATCTTATGAAACCAATATTGGCTATACTGACTTGAGTGGGTAATGGGTTAGAGGTGTACTTGGGATGAGCGAAGTGTGCCAGTAAGCTGTCATGAAAGCTGCACATACTGAGAAAATGTTGTATATATTAAATTAATACGGCCCGACAACAGAAGCCCAATCAGAAAAATAATTACTGCCCCGATTAAACACACGTGTTGCTACTGGGGTTTGGTCTTAGATAACGGATAGAGCCGCGATAAGAATCTTTGTCGACAAAAAGCGCATGGACATAAAAAGTATTTATGGACGGAATATATGCGGCAGGAACAACGAAAGCATGTATAGCACAAGATGAATCAGTCTGATATCCTTGCATGTCTTTAGGGTACATATTGGGTTCGACGTGGAATTAATGTGCACTAATGAACTAAAGAGAATTTTGCCGATTACCACTGTTTTGTTCCTTTATACCAGTTCCTACAGTCGGAACACTTATCCATCTTGATATTTCCACACACTGACATCACTCTAGTTTTGAATCTTTTAGGCTGCGTGTTTATAACAGCAGAACACAGCTCATATTCGACCATTCATGGGGTACACGAACAAGAAGCCTTCCCACGCTCGACAAAATGCATGCGCTAAACATTAACTTAAATAGATAGCAGTGAATGTTTTTTCTTTACTGCGACACGATATCTCTTATTGTGATGTATGACCTGAATGCACTCCCTTTCTCTGCATTGATCTGGCCGCATCTAGACAACGCAATATGTTTCGTCGAAAACAGGACGCGGTGCTTGAACAGCAAAGCGGAAGTGCACCCTAGCGGTGCCTCTGAAGGGTAAATTCAACATCAGCCCGATTAGGGGATCTCCTTACAGCTCGTCGAGGTCACCGCTCGTCGAGGTCACCGCTCGTCAGGGCTTGAAGGAGTTTTGGATCTGTTAGGGGGTGGCAGGCCTTCAGGCGGTTTGTTCAAGAGAAACAAAAGATGTCATCCCCAGGCGCCATCGCAGTTTAATCGAGTCGGTTCGACTCGTTCTAAGCATCAGGCCATTGAGCACACTATTGAGACAGAGAGAGAGAGAGAGAGAGAGAGAAAGAGGCGATAGAATGATAGAAAAGCGAACAAGTCAGTTGCAGCAGTTCACAAACCGACCGCTAGCATTGCCCTTGAAGTGGATAGCTAAGTGCAAAGGTGCGATTCGGGCGAAAGCAATGGAATAAAGATCTTTTGGCAGAATTTTCTCAAAGGGACTTCAAGCGCCGAGTTCGTCCCCTTGCTTACTTTCGCAGTAGTGATGGTAGCAATGGCAGTCGTAGTAGTCCCAAGTACCAAGTTGAGACCACCTAGGACTTCTGGGAGCGAACGAGAGAGAGAAAGAGAGGAAGAGACCTATGGCATGCAAGAGCCAAGGCGCTTTCCGAAAAGCTAGGTCGATGGCAAATCCTAGACAGACTTCTACCACCGCTCGCACAAGAGATGGTTGCGACAGTGGTGGCTGCAGTGCCAGCGGCGGCGTCCCTTTTTTGGAGGGCAGAGAGGCATGGGGTGACCAACCAGGAAACCAAATCCTATCACACCTTTGGCGTAAGAAAACCAGCAAAGTCACTAGCGAATCGATGGAGGACGAACGAGTCGGAAAGCGACGTAAACCAGGAGAGCTAAATTTAGTGCGCCCAGGGGGAACAGGAATGCGGAGAAGTAGGCGGTCTGACATTTGGCGCTATTTTTCACGTTGACCTGGCCGACGTATTGGAGCAGCCAAGCGTTCGTCTTTCGATGGAGCCCGTCGGCAATCGTTTTTTTTTTCTTTCCTTTAACCTCTTTATCGCCGATTCTCGCCCTCCTGTGTTTTTTCGTCTTGCTATCACGTTACGTTGTCACCAAGTTTTGCCACGCCAGTTGCCATTGGTAAGCTTGCTACAGGAGTCGAATTTGAGATTTTGTGCACCTGTTAAGTTTTTCTTGGAGTTTCCGGATTTGCACGCTTCAGTAGGCGACCGTATCCTATATAGAGAATATATGCTAGACGTGCACTGCCTGTACCCACAGTTTACAGAATACCTGGGCGCAGGTGGTGGCTAAATTTTTTTTTAGGGGGCGAAAGAATCGTATTATAATCGCCTGCGAAATCGTTGAGGTTATCCACGTAAAACAATATGCAATATGTAGCATGTGTCTATATACAGAACTATATATTTCGGGCAAGGATCTACGTTCTAAATAAGATGTATCCTCTTTGAAATTAAGTAAAAACTGACTTCAGCAAACCGATTACGAATGTAAGAAGCCCGTTATTGCGAAGGGCATTATGAGACATAATCATAGCGGTTGGAACGTGTACAACACTAGAAAGCCAGTGCTTGACATGCATTTTCTTTAGGCTACACTGGCAAACAGGAGCTGGTAACAGAATCCAATATTTGCCTATTTTGGTCAGCGAAAGATTCGCAATTAAGCTGGAAGCCGATATCCTTAACACTTCCACGGGCTAGCAATCGAAGTCCGTTGTCCTATCCATCCAGAGGCACATCACCGATTTGAATGTTACTCAACGAATTGTTCGTGTTTTTTTTTTCTTTACATAAAAAGTGAGATTTATTTATAGTGGGCTAGAGTACCTAAAGGTATCCTCGCGTTTTTCAAATTACATGACAACACTTCCTCGCTAATTTCGTAAAAATTAGAGCAATTACAGCATAGAATTTTATACAGGAATTGTCAACGCCGATTTACTAGATAAACCATTATTGTCTTTTTTACGACGAATAAGTAAAAAGACCAAACTGTTTTCTTTTTACTGAAAAAGTGTATCTACTGAAGACAGACTGCCGATGTACTTACTCTCGCGAGTCGTCTGTCGATTTATAGAGATCGAAGTCGGTGAACTTGATTTGTACGCGTTCTTTCCCCTCACCCTGGAAGTGGTATGTGCATTTGATATTTCCAGGGTACGTGTTTGGGTAATTAGGTGACGTAATTGTTCCGTTCTTGGACATATTCGATGAAATCACCATGTCACAGCTGCCATTGGCTGAAAGAAGGCAAATAAAGTAGACAAGGGATTAAGCTATTCTGTAAGCATAATAAGAAGATTGTATCTAAAGATCATTCTAAGAACTGTGTATATGTTGAGGTAAATGAATACTGCACGCTATTTTACTGTCGTACGTGTTTCATTGTACGACGGTTCTATTCAGCTCACCAATATCCAACAGATGCTTCAGTGGCAAGCAAAGCTGCAACTTAAATGGAACTTGAATAGAACACGGTTGGCAGCAACGGAAGCTTGATAGACCAACGAGTCAACTTGGAGTTGGAGTGAACTTGTTTTTGGCAGAAGCCGCCTCCACTTCACTCACCTTTGGGCCTGTCACATAGAAATGGGGAAGAGTATGTGATTCGCAGTTCGCTAGCCAAGAAAACGTCTGTGGTGGCGACGCTACTGCTGCTGCTGAGACGACTGTCGCAAGAGAGAAGCTGTGGTGGGTATGGTAAACGGACTGGTTGAATCAAAAGGGGGTAACACTCGACCTGAATCGTTGTCTGCTGAAGACCTTCTCATGTGGTGCTGCTGCTCGAAGTTGCTCCTTCTTTTTCTCCGTTCTCTTTCGAATCTTCATTCTTCCTCGATCATTCTCGTCTTGTCATACTCGTGCTTGTCGCCGAATGTATCTTTCAGGCTAAAACTTGTAGCCTGATAGACTGAAAAATTCCCAGTTGGCGTCTCGGCTTGTGGACAGACAATGACCTAACCCTACGGCGTTTTTCGACGTTTAATTCAGGGCAGGAGATTTCGCTTTGGCCATATGTTACGGCTCAGACGTCCTCGATTTCGGTAAGTAAAGGTAAAAATTGTACCTTATTTCGCTTGTAGCCGATGCATCGTGAGCTCTTTCCAAAGTTTCAAGTGCGGCAGCATGTCAATTTGTCTTTCGCTCATTTCCTACTGCTGGTTCGGCTCAACTACTTGTGCATTATAAATAATGAATAAGAACAATTGCTTCCAATAAAAAATTATCTCCCAATAGTGGCCATTTGCTAAAGAAGCAATAGACAAAATCAATAAGGTAACTGAAAACAGGTATGGGGAAATAAGCTGTTCGAACTACTTGATATAGTCGCTTATACGACTTACAGGCCCTGAACATATTGTAAACGGCGATTTTTCTTGAAGCATAGAATGACAAAAAGAATAGAGACAGGCAGGTCGAACGTTTAGTTCTCCCCAGCTCAGTCCATGTCAGCTGGTCTCAGAAGATGTTCCATTGCAGTAGATCAGCTGTGCCATCGGCATGGTCTATAGGAAATCGCAGGAAGGAGATAATGTCGGGCAAAAGAAGATATAGCGGTGAGGAAGTCGGGCAACACAAAGGCAATAGCCGCCGAGCAAGTCGACAGCGGTCTCTCCGCTGTTCTCCTCTAGGGAAGCTGCAATAGTCACTGCAGCCCCGAGGCCACGACTGTTCATTTGTTTAGACTTCCGCCTACAAGCGACCATTTAAGTTCGACTCACTAGCCGACCGACGCGAGTCGAAGCTAGAATTCACCGGTCGACCAAGCTGTCCTTCTTCGGTATTGCCCCAATCGCCTAACGGCGGCCGGAACCGGAACCAGGTCGAGCAAGAACGAGAGGGATCGAGAAGAATGAAGCAAAGCAACAAAAAAGTAGGTAGAATGGACAAAGGCAGTTCGCCTCGGTATGGGGCCGTAGTAGTAGCAGTGTCGCTAGTATAGAAGAAGTAACACTGGTAACTGGTGGTGCCACAGAGCTGTACCAGCAAGATTTAAGATGTGCAAGAAGTAAAATTAGAAGCGGATGTAAGGTCGCTCTAGACTAGGTAGGATAGGTCGTGGTTCAAGACCGCTCCTGTAACGCGGAGGTTATGTTGTCACATAAGCGTACGCCGGCTCTTGTACAGGATGGTAACGGAGACTCATCATCCGACACATGGTGCGCACGCACGCACGCACACGCACATGTCTGCGATGTCATGGTGAACTTGAGTTTCTTTCCGGCATGAACTAGGAAAAGCTAGGCGAACATTGTAGGGGTTATTTGCGATGACGATAGAATTATTCTACTCTATAAAGTTCGTAGAGGATCTGTTTAGAAGAGAATGATTGGGCTTAAGAAAATTGTTTCTCAATATTGTAAATTCATTTTTAACCTGGTGTCAAATAACAAAGCGAGTAAAACAAACGGGAAACAAGTATAATCCACTTATATTTAATATAGCGCCTTACGGTAACAGTCTGATTTGCCCAGATCGATGTCCTTTAACCCGCACAATTTCAGCCCCCCAATAGTGAGCCGCACAGAGTGAGCCTGCAATAGTTCCTACTCAAGATTCACCAGGAGTATCGCAAAGATGGGCTATTGCTGCCGTCTCATTCTTTTTCAGCTACAAAGAGGCTCATAGTGGGCATATAGACCACGTCGTTTGGTTCGGGCGACTTGCCAAGAAAGCCAGAGTCGTCATGTGGAGTAGACGCACGATTAGTTCGCGAAAAAAGAGCTCGGATAAGATTGTAAGACTGATTTCAGTTAGGCAGATGGGCGCTTCCAATGCCGAGTGGCGGGGGACTTTCGACCAGCGCGCGTCGACATCGATAACGAAGTGCAGATAAAGGGAAAAGAGAAAGATAGGAAGCCAAACCGGTTAGCGGTCAACGCCAACCAGCCAACCGGTTCCTTACACAGTGAAGTGCTTCCTGGAGCCATCATGCTGTGCTCTCGAGGCTAGAGCTTTTTCGGCGGTGACGGTAGAGAAGGCGCACCCCCAGCAGAAAAAAAGCCAGGCATAGTAAGATTCGCTCCATTGTCGTTTAGCGTTCAGGTGTAGTCGCGCTACTGTCTCTTTGGCATTAGGGTATATCCAATGCTGCACCAGGGTCCCTGGGGCCATTGGACGCGGCTATACAATAGCCAGCAACCATCGCCGGCTAGGTAAAAATTGTTTTCTTAACGTACCCAAAGTCTCATTGGTTGGCTAGGTCATCCCTTCTTGTCCATACAGCCGAATGGCAGAACAAGCCGTTTTTCTTAGCACTGTCAGCACACAGACCCGCCTGCAGCCGGCATAATTGACATTCCGACCCTTCACAAGTTTGTTAAACGAAATTTTCAAGGGGGGATCGCTTTTGCCCGTTTATTCTGGGTTTGCTCTTTGACGCAGCTCGTCGTAGACCAAACGAGAAAAAATAGACTGGTCAGCCAGACATTCTCAAAACCTACGCTTGCTAAATAGCGCCTCACTTCTTCTGTTCGACCACGTCTGTAATTTCCGTGTAAGGCTACTTCAGCTATCATCCAGGCTAGTGTAGATAATTCACTGTACTCCATTACAAGTAGTTTAGACCCACCAAGAAGTTAGGTTTGTCACCGGTGTATTTTATCTTCTCGTCTCCTTTATTCGTACCATTATTCAGTATATAACCTCTCGGCCATATGTTTTGCTGCTTTAGGAAAGGGTAGCTCATTCACGAATTTTCGTTTTGTTGAACCAGTTCGTCTGACTTGATTATGTTTTGTGGGCAGTAAACGAATACGTTAATCGTGATTTTCGTGCCAGAAAACATTGCCATGGTAATCAGACGTGATGATCGAAAACTGAGCGGTAGAGAAACAAGCAAGATAGTTGGTCATACTGAATTATAAATGATTTCTGCCTCACTCTCAAAAGTACCCAATTCATTCAGCTTACTGAATCTCGTGGGCGTGGGGAGTGAAGCTGAGGTACACACAACAATGGTACTGTTTACATGACGCCTTCGAAAAGGTTAGAGAGACGGTTTTCAGGCGCACACGTTTGTATGATACATATACAGATCACATTTATGAAGATGAAAAAACTTCTGTCATCTAACAGCATCGTATGACGATCAATCTTATAATGCCGCAGCATCAGTATCCTAATCGCGGGATAGACAGCCACCCCCAACCCTCGCAACCCAAGCGTTGCAGTAAACAGAAGAGGAAGACAAAGCCAACGACAGTCGTCGTAACGGCAGTGGCTGCTGTCCCTGTCACTGTGGTTACCCCATCATGCTCTTCTACCTGCAAGTAACTACAAGAACTACCACATTATGACACAGCTACGCATCAACCAGGCGCTTTTCTGCGTTTGTCACGTGCATGGCCCGCTGTATCAATGTAATGAAATTCCTTTGTTGTTCTCCTTCCATATTTGAAGCCTCTATTTTAGCTCGTGCTTCTACCAGACCACCGCCTTGTTCGCCTATGACGAATAGTCGCGTCTTTCAGGAGGCCTTAGGGGTGGCGGTACGATAAGGACGCGACGAATGGACGGTGGATGCAAAAGTAGGGTCAGAGGGTCGGTGAGAAGAGCAGGAACTACAAAAAACAAAGAAAGCGGTGAACGAGAGAGAGAGCGGTCATCATGAAGACATAGAAAGAGAGCAGACATGACCAGACAGGCCGCAGCAAGCGAAGGGGACCGTCAGCGGGAAGGAGGAATAAGAGAAGTCGAGACTCGACAAGCCACCGCCATCGTATGCACTGGACGGCCCAGATAGTCGTGGCCCACGCTCTTAACACTCACATTATGTCTGCAGCAAGATCTATATTGCAGATGATGGAGCCGAAAAGACGATTGGGACGGAGGCTGGCGAGTTTGTGGAGCTCTACGGCACAGTTAGAGAAATGCGCGGCTTTTGCAACGCGTAGGCGAAATGTCATGCTTTTACGGTTTGGTCTTGCACTCTTATCGAATTTTTCGTTGCGAAGAAAAAAGGAGCAAGAGTGAGGAGAGAAAAGAACCTGCCAACGAAAAGAAATCGCCGTTCTTGGTCTGAGTCTTTGCTTTGCTTTACAGGTGTCCAGCTCTGTATATCTTTAACGCTCTCTTCCATTTTCCCTGTCAGGAGGTTCTCGGCTAGTGCTCGTATAGTGTTCCCTTTTCTAGGTCTTAGCGTTTAAGGCTGTATATACCGGTACACTTATGCACTCCTTACTCAACTGCGTATTTAATTAATAGTTCTAAGGCTATATTGATAAGGAGTAACACAGAA